CCGCGCTCGGCCCGGCTCGGGCTCCCCTGAGACCGCGCGAGGCCGGCGGCACCGGCGCGAACACGCGCTGCTCTAGCGGGACAACGAGCGCAAAGAAACGGAACGTCCTCGGGAAAAGCACGCACCGGGGCCGCGGCTTACGTTTTTCAGGCGTTTGATCTCCGCTTTCTCCTCCTGCTCCTTCCGCCGCTTCTTCTCCTGCAGGATCTCATCTAACGTCTTCACCTTCCAGGAGTCCTTCTCATCCCCCATTGGAGTGAGGGCGCTGCGGAGGCACGACCGGCCCGTCAGGACGCGGCGACCCGGCCCCGGCTCGCGCCGCCTCCGACACAGCCCCCCGGGGGCAGCGCCGCCCGCGCTCGCACCGCCGTCGCCGGGGCATCCCCGACGGCCCGGGGCGCGCCCTCGCCCCCGGTTACCTTTCCGCCGGAGCTCACGGCAGCCCCGCCGGGGGCTACATGAGATCCTCCGTGCGGAGCTCGCGGCGCGCTCCCCGGTCCTCCCCGCGCACCGGGCTGGCCGTCAGGAGGGTCCGGGAGCCGGGCTGGGGCGCTGCGACACGGCCGCGGCGCCGGGACCCTCGCCCCCTGGGCTCAGCCGCCACGAGCCGGGGTTCCGGCCCGACGCCGCCTCAACCCCCAGCTCCGCGCGGGGCGATGAGGCGGGAAGCGACGCCCGGACGCGAGAGGTCAGGGAGCTGGCTGCGCCCGCCGCTCGTTCCGGCCCTCCGCCACTCACCCCTGCACCGTTGCTGCTGCCGCCGCCACCGCCGCCACCGGTCCCGGAGCCTGAGGAGAAACAGCGCCCGGCGCGCGCCAGCAGCGTCGCCACTTCCTGCGTCGGCGCCGGCTGATGACACACGGGGGCGGGGCCCGCCGCCGGCTCGGGAGCGAGGGCATCCGGCGCGCTGGCTTTGCGTCACTTCCGTCCTGGGATTCCCGCGGCGGTTCCCCGCCCCCCTCACCAGCCCCCTCCCGGGACCTGCCGGCGTCCGGCGCTAGGCCGGCCTGCGAGGTTTCAGGGGGCCAGAGAGACAGGGCACCGGGCGGGAAGGTAGGCGTCCACACTATGGCGACCAGTTCGGGCACAGAGAGGTCGAGTGGAACAGGGGCCGGGGCCTCCCTTCGCTTTTCTCCTTCGTGCTGAGAACTGCGGGCGCCCGCGGCTCCGTCGCGCCGACACAGGAGGGGCCCCCGAGGGAAACGCAGGCGGACAGGGTTCGCTTTATCGTGTTCGGCAGAACCGGAGCCCCAGGGTGGGCCGAGGCGCAGCGATGTGTCCCCGCAGCGGGCTTGACCGCCGCGCCCGTCCCGGAGCACTGCCCCGGCGAAGGCCGCAGCCCCGCACGCGCTCCGCTCCCAGCTGTGCGGTGTAGAGCGAAGTAGCCGGCTCGGAGGCCGACATCCGTGCGGGGAAGCCACGGAGACGGGCCCTCCCCAGCCCAGCGCCCAGGACGCCCCGGGCAGGTTCACACTCAGCTCACACGTCTGCAGACGGGGCTAGAAGTAGCCAGTGAACACCGATTTTCCTCAAATCTGGGAGAGAAGAATGGGGGGCGCATGGCGGGCTTAGTCCGGGAACATGTGGCTGTCGCTCCTACGGTGAGATGGAGCCGCACTGCGGGGCGTGGAGATTACTTACAATCTTTAGAACAGCGGGCGCTTCTGGTTACTATTTTTTAACCAATTATAATAGTTTCCAACTCCTTTTGGAATCTGGGCACCGATCCAGCGCCCATGAAACCCATAATCAGAACCTCAGGAAAACGAGTAAGTTCTACAGAGATGGTGAGGTTGAAGGCTTTCCACCCAAGTGGCAGGCGGTCAGCAGACCCTCCCCTCGGGGCTTGGCTCCTCAGCCAGGAGAGAGGGAGACAGATTCACCATGGGAGCTGGGGCATTCTTATTTCTAAACCAAGGGAAGGAAGAGGCCCCAACCAGAGCAGGTATGGACTTTGTGAAAGAAAGAAGCCCTCAGTACATTGGTCAAAGGCAGAAGAAAAGACCCCCATGTGCACTAACTCCTTGTTTAGATTTTCCAACCCAGGGAAACCATGAAAACACTTGAGGCCTTGGGAAAGCACACCACCAGCCAGATGTAAAATGCCACGTGGTGCGTGTGTCATCCCTACCGGCCCATCCAAGGGGCCACTCACAGGCAGAACCCACTGGTTCTGGGAAAAGCATTTCCAGCGCGGAGGATGTTCTCTGTGCTGCGTGGGACTGTCTCTGATTCACCATGTGTATTTTTCTCAAATTAAAGACACATTTTGGATTGTGCAAAATATTCTCAGCTTTCCAGGGCAGATTATTTTAATGCTGATATACAGGAAATTATGACTACTGGAATTTAAAAAAAAAAAAAAAGCTTTTTAGGCCCTTCAGTGGAAGCTTCCTTGAAAACCAGACATACTACATTCCCTATGTATCAATGTAGGTGAGCAAATGACCTGATTTGACACCTGTTGGAAGTGTTTCTTTGCAAAGGCACAGACAACAACCATGGACACGGGAGGAATTGACCCAAGGAAGTGGTGACACCAAGTGTCAACGTTGATACAAGCACGTCCTGGGATGGCTCAATGAGAACATACTAGAAACACGACTACACAGAGTTAATAAAAAACATACCATGTCTGTACATTCATTCCACACACGGCCAACACAGGCCACGGGTTTTGTCTCCTGGCAGGGCTGTCCTGGACGGAGACCAGACACAGGAAGAAGGAACGTAAGCCCCGGGCCGGTGCAGGGCCGCCCACAACTTGTGTTCTGAGGAAATGTCTCAGAAGCAGCTTTGCTGGAAATGAACTCATTTGCTAATAATTCAGGAAAATCTTCATTTTGTTTCTGATTTTGGAAAATCGCACCCGCAGGCAGCCACTGTGAGAGGAGACAGGGCACAGGTGACACGCAGGGCGCTTGGTCCCTTATGAGGCTCAGAAGCAGGCACTGCCCATCTGGCTGCGCTCGGACGGCGACCTCCGTGAGGAAGGCGGCACAAAATCCTCTTGCAACAAGATGACCGCAGACGTGTCCTCTGCTCCCATCCCGTCGGCTGCTGGTCACGGCGGCCACATTCTCGAGGGGGGAGGCACGGCTTGCACAGCACCGTGCCCTCACTCTGGTCCTCCCAGACCCAGGCACATCCTGCCGCCCCAGTCACCTCCAACGAGTCCCCCTCAGTGTTGTTTGTGGGGGAAGCGGCGAGGGAAGGGGATAGAAATGGGGCAAGTCTCATGATAAACGTCTTCACAGTGCAGGTGAGCTCGGCACGCAGGCCAGCACACACCTGCCTGTCCACTGGGAAGTAGCTTCATGAAAAGGTTGTAGTTTGTTGTTTTGTTCGTTCATTTTTGGTGGAAAATGTGGGCATTGAAAAAAGGCTGTAGTTTTAAAGGCCTTGCTTTAACCCGTCATTATGGCACGCTTCTTCAATTAGGCAGAAGTTAATGAGACATAATTATTGCTCTTTGTTTCCAAGAGATTTGACCTTGAGGAGGGCCTGTTTTCATTTTCCCAGCTGAGATGCCAACCAGAAAACCAGTGAAGAGATGATGGAAGCCAAGGACTGAACAACAGGGAGGGGGAATCAGACGAGGGGCTGTTAGCGCCCGAGGCCCTCCTGTCGGCTACTTCACTCAGTCACGGCAGGCAGGTCTCAGGCGGCTGTGTTGCGCCCCAGTGTGTGAGCGTGGCACCACAGAGAGGTCTTAAAGCCTGGCTGGCAGTGGACAGAGCCCTGATCAGAATCCCACCATGATGTGAGAGGAGGAGCAGAGTGCAGAGGCCTGGAGCCCGAACCTTGCAAAGGGCTCAGAAGCCCAGCGTGGTGGTCCGTCTGCTCTGGGAGGCGAGAGTCAGGCCAAGCCAGCCTGTGGGTTCACTGTGTTAACGGTCACACAGCACACCTTCCAGAAGCCACTGGTCCCTGGCCACCTGTTTCCTTCTTTAAAAACTCCACTGTCATTGTAAATGCAGTGTGACAAAAACTGTGAACACGCCAAATGTTCTTCCCAGCACCCCCCTACTCCCTCGTTCATGAGGGAAACCCTTAACATCCTTCTCCAAGAGACAAGGTATGGCGCAGCCCAACCAGCGGGGTGATGGCAGGAGTACCTCTATGGAACCCTTCAGAACAGCCCGTGTTACACACAGGGGCCCAGAAAACAAAAAGGAATGTCCTTATATCCTTGTCCTGAGCTAACCACCACAGATGCCTGTCTGTCCTCCACCTCTGTGACCGGCAGTCACCGTCATCACATCGGGGGTCTCTGAATGAAGGGCAGCCACAGGTGAGAGTTGGGACCCTCAGGAGGTCTGGGGCCTAGTGCAACAGAGACCCTGAAAGGGGTGGGGCACCTTCCCTTCCATAAGTGGCCTTTCCCTAAGTGGTACCGGCTGCCGACCGCTCTGGGGTGCAGAGGACGCCTTGGGTGGAAGGGCAGGAAGGCAAGGGCCCACCGGCCTGCCCTCTTCTGCGCCCCTTCCCCTCTCTCCTAGCTCTCTCCTAGTGGTTACCTGGCTGCTGTGGGCTCTGGCCCAGGCAGTGGCACCTGGGCCTTCTGTCTCAGCACAGCAGCCCCGCCAGATGGCAGAAGGACATGTGCAGGCCTGGGGACACAGAGCAGTGGGAGTGGCGCATGTTGGCACCTGTGGCCGTCCCCCCGCCAAGGCACGGGGGCCTGGCCTCACTGTAGCTGGACCTGTGTACTGGTGAGGGCCTGCAGAGGCTAGCGTGGGTCCCAGGGCCCCTCATGTGTTCATCATGGGGTCAGCAGGTGGGGGTTTTCACATCACGTGGCTGCAGCTCAGCTGCTGGCTCTGGTCTCTGCCCCAGGAAGCTGGCGTCTGGGATGCCTGTGCAAGTTCCCAGTGGTTTTCACTGAGAACTCAAGAAAGGAGCAGGGAAGGCGGCACATCCCTTGGTCTCCTGCACCCTACTGACCAGGAGGGGCTGGGTGTCCGTGTCAGTGAGGAGGACAGCAGCGGTGGGCAGCTGGGCAGCACCTCGGGGCCCCAGGCACCTGCCGGGGCTTCCACAGCTCAGTGGTGTGGCCGGGGGTCCTTGGGGGTCAGCGGCTCCGTGTCGTCCTCCGGTGTCCGGCTGTTGGCCGCAGCCAGGCTGTGCATGGCCTCCTGCTGGTGCTGCTTGGCTTTGTTGTAGAGCAGGACACCAGCCGTCACTAGCGCAGTGCCGGTGGCTGACAGGCTGGTGACACTGTTGCCAAACACGATGACACTGAGCCACGTGGTCGAGGCGTGCTTCACAGTGCTGGCGACGCTGCAACGACAGAGGTTACAGCCCGGGCTTGGCCCGCCGCCCGCACAGCCCAGGGGCACTCCCTCGCCGGCTCCCTCCTCCTCGCTTTCACAAGCAAAGGTGTCCAACAGGGAAGCAGGGACAGGTTATGACGAACGGCCATACTCCCATCCCGTAGACTAAGCTGACATTTTGCTTTATTTGCTTCATCCTATTTTGGGACTGAAATATTTTTAAGTAAATCACAGACATTATGGCATTTTCCCCTAAGAGCTCAGCGTTCTGCTGAAGGGCAGGAGAGCTCTGCAGACGCCGCGGGTGGAGAGTTACAGGAGCCACCCCAGAAAGGCCCCTCAGGGACTCCGTCTCTTGTGCGAGCAAGGCTAGGACCCGTAGAAACGCAGTTAATGTGAAAGACGCGGACATGTTCACAGCACTTGTGTCTGTGGATCTTGGGCTACGTGTGCTTTACTCTTTATACTTTTCTGTCTTTTCCAAACTTCCAATGACGAATTAAGTATTGCTCTCACGATAAGAATAAGACACACCAAAAAGCTATTTTCTTTAAAAAGAATTGGATTTCTGCTTTTGCCCTTTTTGAACCATTGTTAACAATCACGAAAAAACAAAGTTTCAGGGATATTTGGAAATAATTCCTGGCCCCAAATGGATACCAAAATATGTGACAGAAACAGTGACCACTCCGGGCCTCAGAATGTAAAAGTCCTGACCGACTGTGGCTGGCACTCCTGCAGACCTTCCCCAGTCAGGAGCCAGGAAGGGGGAGGGCCACATGGGTCACAGGGCAGGGCGCGCAGCTGGTGCCCCGCACGGCCGCCACACTGGGCCAGAGCAGCCTGAGCAGAGGGGCGACAGCCGCCCCAGGGAACCCCAGAGAGACAGAGGCCTGGCTGTTCCACGTCTCTGCTGCCTGTTCAGAAGTTAAAAAAAAAAAGGCCCACTGACTTCCACGACACATGGCCAAAGCTAAGAACGTGGATGTCTAGGCTTGCTACGGATACAAGCTCATGCTTTTCTGCTTGTTACTGAAAACTCTCTAGTCTTGAAATGGTGTTTTTATTAAACTCTTTAAGTTACAGAAAGGAAGAGAAGCCAGCAAGGCCTCTGGCTCGTCTCTGTTTCCAGAGTTGTGCCTCCAACATGGGAGCCTACGGCTACATGTGGCTATTCAAATTAAAATTGCTTAAAATTAGATGAAATTAAGAATTCATCTCTTGGGGGGGTGCCCGGGTAACTCAGTGGGTTACGCTTCTGCCTTCGGCTAAGATCATGATCCCAGGGTCCTGGGATTGAGCCCTACATCAGGCTCCCTGCTCCGCAAGGCCTGCTTCTCCCTCTGTCACTCTCCTTGCTTACGTTCTCTCTTTCAAATAACTAAGTAAATAAATAAAACTGTAAAAGAAGAGAAGAATTCTGTTCTTTACTGCATTCACCCCACGTCACGTGTCCGTGGCCCCCCCCCACTGGACAGCCCAGGAGCAGAACATTCTGGCATCACAGGCAGTGCCACTGACACGCTGATCCAGACAGAAAAACACTCAATCTGCTCCAGTTTCCAGGTGGGGCTCCCTACAGACTGATGTCCTGGGCCTCGCCGTAGGTCAAACAGCTCTGAACAGCACGGCCTGGTGGTCACAGCATGTGGCCACGGCCGCACTCGAGCCCCGGGAGCGAGAGCCCTTCACATCTGGCGAGCATGGAGATGGTTCGTGCAGTCCCTGGGCTTAAAGTCCGCTCCTCTGCAAATGAGCTGGACACACACTCTGTCTCTTGGGAAACTACTGTGCTCACCTGAACGTCACAGGGGAGATCTTGCCCATGAGGGCGTAGGCCGTGACGCTCTGCAGGTGGAACAGCACGCCGTCCGTCAGCAGCAGCAGCACCACGTCCCGGCTGTAACTGAAGCTCCTCCCACTCCGGCCGATCACCGGCAAGTCCTGTGGTCGGAACAGGAGTGACGCTCTGCCATTGCCAGCTTCCCTTCGCAGAGCACTTCGGGGAAGTCTGGGGTCACGGGTACCCAGTCTCCTGGGCCCACAAGCTGAGGCTGAGCAGTGGTCTGCAAACAGCCTTCTCGCGCGGCACCCGAACAGCACCCACCAACCTTCTGAACGTGCACGCGCACGGCTAAGAAGCCCACGAGAGGGCGCGCAGCATCACTGACCATCTGGGAAACACAAACCCACAGCACCGGGGGAGACCGCCTCATGCGCGAGCGCGGTGACCATCAATAACAGAAAATGGAAAGGACAAGCACAGGGGAGGAGGGGCAGCTGGAGGCCTTGAGCGCTGCTGGCAGGAAAGTAAAATGGTGTAGCCACCGAAGGAAAGTCCTCAGAAAGTTCAACAGACAGCTCCTGCGAGAGGCACCGCACGTGTGGGTGCACACCCAAGGAACCAGAGCGGGGTCTTGAATCGTTATGCGCACGCCCAGGTTCACGGCAGGACTGTCCGCCAAAGCCGAAATGAGGAGGCAACTAAGCATCCATCAGTGGGGGCACGGACGGACAAACGGACTCGGATGACTCAGCCAGAAAAAGGAGGTTATGCACCTGCTAGAGCACGGAAGGGCCCTGAGGACACCCATGCCCAGCGACATAAGCCAGTCCCCAAAGGACGGATCCCATAGGATTCCACTTACATGAGAGACCTAGGGTCGTCAGATCCGCACAGACAGAAAGGACAGTGTGGGTGCCACCGGCTGGGGGAGGGATGAAGGAGCTCAGAACACAACTATGCCACTCGGGCACCAGGATTATTTTGGGCTGAAGACCCTTAAAAACAGCAGGAGCACAAAGGGCCTGAGCTCCCTTTCCGTCCCTGAGAAGGAGACAGAGGCCACGTGGAGGCCCCGCGCGCCGTAGGAGGAAAGCCCCACACTACTTGCAGGAGACTGAGAGCCCGGCGGACTCGCGGCCTCCGCCCCACAAACAGCTGCTCCCCTGCAGCCATCCCTCCCTGCTAGGCCTGCAGTGCGCGCACACAGACTCGCCCCTCCTCTGGTCTCGTGAGGCTCCCGTGTCACGTAAAGCTTGTTAAATCAGTCTGTGGGCTCGTGTCCTGTTCATTGCCCAGCCGGAGGCCCTAGCAGGGAGAGGTAAAGCTTTGCTCCCCCAGTGGGGCAAGCGGGGAGTTCCTGTTTAATGGGGATAGAGTTTCAATCCGAGATAATGAAAGTCTGCACATGGATGGTGACGGCTGCACCACAACATGAACTTATCTGACGTATACTTTAAAATGGTTAGAATGGTCAATTTTATGCTTATGTACGTTTTACCACAATAAAAATATTTTTAGATATGTACATCTTTCAATCAACCATTTCAATTCCAAGAATGTATCCTAGAGAAACACTCTTGTCTGCTAAAGACAAAGTGAAACTCGCTGTTCGTGTGAAATGTGCCAAGCAGTCAGGTGTCTGTTCAAGGGGCTGTGACAGCTGAAGCACAGCCACACCCCAGAGCACAAGCATAGGACAGAAGAGCCCAGTTCCATTTGTGTTTAAAAAAAAAAAAAAAGAGGGGGTGCCTGGGTGGCTCAGTGGGTTAAGCCTCTGTTGGCTCAGGTCATGGTCTCAGGGTCCTGGGATCGAGCCCCGCATCGGGCTCTCTGCTCAGCGGGGAGCCTGCTTCCTCCTCTCTCTCTCTCTGCCTGCCTCTCTGCCTGCTTGTGATCTCTCAGTCAAATAAATAAAAATAAAAAAAAAATGGTCTGCATGGACATGGACACTCAGCTTCCTAAGACTGCTAGAATCATACCACACACGTGTCTACTCGAGTATGATCCTAGCCATGGAGACAGGGCTGGAAAAGGGCTTTGCAGGAGTGGGTCCAGGTGATCAGGAGACAGACCGTCTCTGCTTTATCTACTCCTGTCCTGTTGCTTGCTCTAAGTGGGCACCTGTTACTTTAAACCAATAATAAAACAGGCCTAAAAACCCTCACGCTAAGACTTCAGGACACTTCCACAGCCTCAGGTTGGCCTTGACGGGTACAAGCCAGTGTCTGATGCCTCTCTGAGCGTTGGCTTCTCAAGTGCACACCAATGACCCCTTGTGAGTGATGTGGCAAGCAGCCATCCCTGCCATCCCTGCCATCTCCGCAGCCTGGACAGTTAGGTAAACCCCCGCTTGCCCGTCACCACAGAGACGCGACGGCGCAGGCAAGCACCCAGCGGCGTCCTGAGACTCACCATGAAGAAGACCCAGGCGGGGACCAGCATGGCCACGGCCGCGGCGCTGGTGTAGAACTGAAGCTCTGCGGCCCTGCAGGTGCAAGAGAGGTGCCTGACGCTCCCCCAGTGCAGTGGAGGCCAGGCTCCCGCAGCCCGCGCGCAGCTCCCGAGGGCCCGCGTGCTAGAGTCTGTGCTGTGCGGCCTGATGGGGAGGGTCTGGGAGCACTTAAAGCCGCAGCCGGGAACCAGCCGCCCTTCAGGTGCCTCACGGGGCAGCTGGAAACAGGAGGGGTTTTTCTTCCAAGTTTCCACAAAGTAGTTTTATTTATTTACTTATTTGTTAAGGTTTATTTTTTTAGGTAATCTCTACACCCAACATGGGGCTCGAATCCACATCCTGAGATCAAGGGTCGCCTGCTCTTCGGACTGGGCCAGCCAAGTGCCCCCTCCACAAAGTACTTTTAAAAGCCACGTTAGCCCAAGTGGGAAAAGCGTCAGGTCTGTAGGGGACCCTCAATTCAAATGGGCAAGAAGTCCTCTCGGGACTACAAAACTGGGAGTTACACGGGCGCATGATACTTACGAGAACCTGTATTTGTCCCCACTGAGGAGCTTTTTTGAAAAAACATTTTGCAAACTGGAATAGAGGAAAGAAGAGGTTAGCAGGTGATACAAAGAGTCAGCGTGGACCTCAGAGGACTCAGCATCTGCACCCTTCCTAAGCGGTGACAATGATGGCAGCTCCTCGGGGACGGCCCCCGTCCGAGGACCAAGAGCCAGGCCCACGCTGGGGGGTTCCTGGGCATTGCTTCACTGTAAGGGGGGGCCCCATGACCAGCCCCCTTTACAGAAGGGTAAACTGAGGCACTCAGCGATTAAGCGGTGTGCCTGAGGGTCCCCAGCTCTTAGAGGTCAGAGGAGCCCAAAGTCCCTGCTCTAAGTGCGTACGAAACCCCGCCCTAGACTTCGAGTTCCCATCAATCAGTACCTGCCGTGGGCCGGGCCCCGGGGACAGACTGTGTGGGAGGGAGCACACAACGGTCTGAGCTCTTGAAGACGCCAGCGGAAAAATAATGGACAAAACTCCAGACGGAATAGACCCACCAGAGGAGAAGAGGAAACAGTGCCCAGCTTGGCCACAAACCAAGGGGCTTGTCACATCTACCGGGGACTCGACCGTCTGGGTCCCAGAAGCAGCGGTTGGTTTCATTTGGTTTTGATGCAAAAACTTAGTTGAGGACAAGGTAAGACCAAAGCTCTGGCTACAGAACCAGAAACCAGAACAATTGTCAGAAACACCGGCAGTGTGGGGCAAGGGCCTTGTCCATGTTCCCGGGCTCTGTGTTGCTGCTGAGAATTCACCCTGATGATGTCAGACACTGCAATGCAGCCTCGTGTGAGGAGGCCCTCCCTGCACATCCAGACAGAGGCATTAATCTGCAGGCGTCTGGTGCCGCACCAGGAGGCGGTTATGGGGCCCAGGCTTCTGAGAGCTGCCGGTGCCAGCACGCGATGCTCACAGGACCACACAGAGGGAGCGGAGCCAGACCCAGACCAAATGCACAATGAGGCTGTATTGGATTTCTAGGAGCTACAAAGGTAGAGGGGAAAAGCCAGAAGGAAATACATCTAAGTGTCAGAAATGAAATTACAAGTGACTTTTAAATGTCTACTTGGCCCAGCACCGGAAACCTCAGGGTGAGCCTGACTTCAACAGGTATGGCAACGATAAACTCCTGTGTGGCTCTCTTCGCCTTCCCAGAAGCAGGGCAGACCTGGTGCCAGTCAGGACTTCTCCAAGAGCAGGGCTAGCCAAGGCCTAGTGTAGACTCGGCACGGCAGCCGGGATGCAGGGCGGCCGCGCTTACTGGTCTAAAGAGAAGTCTGCAACACAGGGTCTGCCCCTCTTGCTGTAGGACGAGGAAACTCCCAGGCAGTACTTTCCCTCCGGCACCTGACTGGGGCTGCCCCCTTCCTAGCGCCAGCCCTGGACACGGACCAGAAACTGCCCCTTTGTTCCAGCCGCAAGATGGCCTCTTCCCCTTTGCTTAGCTGAATGCGGACGGACGCATGAAGCCTCAGGGCACTCCGGCACGCCAGCTGTGTCCTTACAAGGAGTGTTTCTTCATACCAAGACCACGTGTTGTCCAACTCTGGCTTGTTTTCTGAGAAAAGGCTGCCTTACTGGGACACAAACTGTTTGGTATTTCGGAAAAGCCAGCATCAGGTGTGTCCAGTGTGAATTATGGGATGTGATTCTGAGTTAATCTGGACTTGCACATCCATCACCCTGATCACACCACGTGCCCTCAACTCACCAATCCATGATGTTGGTGGACAACGCGGCTGAAAACCCCAGAACGTTGAAGCTTATCTCCGTGGCCGTGCACAGCGCCAGGCCCCCCATGATGGGGATGAGGGAGAGGTTGACCAGGAAGCCTGGAAAGGGCAAAATACACAGAAGGGAGGCCGCGTCAGTCCCCCCGCTGAAAATCTTTGCTGGGCGCCAAGGCTGTTTTCATGCCCCTCACGAAAGCTGCTAACTTCCACTTGTGTTAAAAAACCAGCAGTTAATGATTCTTTACACTGGAGAGAAACAATACAACCACGTCCACGCCTGCTCCCAGCCCACCGCCCTCTCCCGGGCTGGGAACCTCACGAGGCTGTTCTCCGTGAGGCACGTCTGCAGGCCCGCAGGCGAGATGCATGAGGCTGGGGCCCCGCGCCCCGAAGCCCCGCCCCGCCAGACACGGCCGTCGTGCAAACTCTCCCTTGAGAACGAGCGGTCTCCCGACCAGTCCGTCCACACGGGGGGCCGGGGGCGGAGGCTGCTGGACGCCCTGGTACAGGGGGTCTCCGGTCAGGAGCTGCACATGGTGAGGAGGCGACCTCTCTCGGCTCCGGCTTCGCTCTGGAGCCCGAGGAACAAACCTGAGGCGGAGCTGAAGAAGTCCGTTGGGCAGATCGGAAAAGCAAATTCGCTCTGGAAACCGGGCGTTGGGCCTCATGCTGCTTCAACGCCGGATCCCATTTTGTTTACTCTGAAATTCAGTCAACGAGGGAAGAAGTCTTCCGTGGGAGAGGTCCCCAATGACCTCGGAGGACGATGGCCACCTCCCAGCAGAGGACCATGCTGTCCAGGCTCCTGTCGCTAGGGAGCCCCCAGACACCAAGCAGCAGCCCCCAGGCCCACGTGGCTGCCAGGCTAAGAGCTGGAGGAAGGGAATCCGGCCTGGCGGGCCTTCTGCTACCAGCACCCTCTCGGTTTTCTAGCATATGGTCTTGGCCTCCAGTCTGCCCAGAAATGTCTGCTGCATGACGGACTGTACTTGTGAAAACCCAGAGAATGTGAGGCCACCGGCACCCTCTTGCCCTTAGGAAGGACTTGGTCTGCTGTTGGGAGGCATCCATGGGCGTGGGCATATGTGGGGTCTCAGGGGAGAGCCCAGGGCTTTCCTGGGGTGCCCCCCAGGCAGGCCCCACTTGCCCTCAGGCCTGAAGCCCCATAGGCCGCTCTGCCCTGAGTCCCAGCCACCTCCATGGGAAGGGCGTCACACATCGGGGTCCCTTTTGTGGGTGACCCTCGGCTCTGGAGTCCTGGCCCCTCAGTCATTCTCCCCAGCAGATTCTCTTTGCTAAGTTTTTTCGAAACATTCCCACTGTTCTCAACAAGAGAGCTTAGAGCCACCACAGCTGGAAGCCAAACCCTGCTGTTTTCAAGTCAATGAAGTAAAGTTCGTGCAGCTGAGCAGGCCCCCGCCACGCAGTCCGCTGTGTTTCTGGAGGCTTGTGATTTCTAGGGGCCTGCTGTTTACGCTGATCGGACTGTCTTACCAACTCAAATGTGTGTGGCTCTGGATGCACATCTGCGAGGGGTCCAGCTGTGTACTCCCCCCTCCGCCACCGCCTCGAGATCTTGTCATTTTCTTAACCGAAGCCAGTGTGTATCTGCACCTCCACGTCGATCAGCCCTGGCTTCAGATGAGAGCCCGCGCAGCACACGCTTCCTTCCGCTCCCTGCTTGTTTCCATGGAACAATGCTGGATGGGCTCCGTTTTCAAAGGCTGGTGGGAAGAGCAGGGACGTGTGTATAATGTGTAGTTGGAAACAGTCTGCTGTCACTGAAGGTTGGCGATTTGTAATACATTAGCTTTTTGGCCCTCGTGGAAGATGGAGCCAGGCAGCTAAGAAGCAGGGACGAGAAGGAGGCTGTCAGAGGAGCTCAGGAAGGACACAGGAGGCGGCCAACCTGGGCAAGACTGCTGGGCGCACCAGCAGGTGACTGTCACCAGGCAGTCCCTTGCGTGACCCAGAAGGCCGTCTCACCTTCTGGGACCAGTGACTCCTCCCTTACTGGCTTCTTCCTTCTTTCCACAGCTTCTACGTACCCACCAGCCACCAGGCCTCTGCATATCCAAACAGCCTTGCACTCAGCTGAGGCGAAGAAGCACTTGCTGAAGCGAATGCGTGAGGCACTGTCACTGCTCAGAGATGTTCTAGGACAGAAGTCAAGACGTCCACCTCGGAGAGGCGAGCCTCAGCGCCCGGCTGCGGCTGGGGAAGGGGGTAGAGGTAGGTGGGGAGGGGCGCCAGGAGACCACTCACCCGTGTACTCTCCCAGGATCATTCGGGACATGATCACAGTGAAAATGGGAGCAGAGCTCTTCACCGTCTCCGCAAACGAAACTGCCACATTTTTCAGGCTGACCAGACCCAAAACCACTGTCGCGAACCTGAAAATAAGCCAAAAGTGTCACTGTGATGGAGAAGGCCGTTTGTAGCTGCCCTCCTCCTCTCCGCTCCCCGCCCTGCTTGCCTCCCCCTGAAGACTTGGGTCTGGCCCTGTAGCGGGGGCCCCGTGGCCCCAACAGCGAGGTGCTGCTCCGCACGCTCAGACTGGCAGGCTCAGGGAGAGGAGGGGTGTCACTCTCAAACCATTCTTTTTTTTTTTTTTAGATTTTATTTATTTGACAGAGAGAGATCACAAGCAGGCAGAGAAGCAGGCAGAGAGCAGGGGAAGCAGGCTGCCCGCCAAGCAGAGAGCCCGATGCGGGGCTCGATCCTAGGACCCTGGGACCATGACCCGAGCCGAAGGCAGAGGCTCTAACCCGCTGAGCCACCCAGGCACCCCTCAAACCATTCTTAAATTAGATTCATGGCAGTTCCAGAAGGAATCTGTTTGCATTCAGATCCACAAAACCAATACATTTGTCATCCTAAAATCTAAACAGCCCTGGACCACATAAACTTTGCACCGAAAACACGCCTGTGATCACGTGATTACAGCGTCAGTCGGCCAGCCGCCCACTCTCGTGACAGCCAAGACGTTCCCTGCAGCCCTCAACCAAAACGCCGGATGCCTCACCTCATGAGACCCACAAACAGCATGATCATGATGAAATTGGGTGGAAAAGAAAGCCGGGTTTTGTGCTGATACAAACAGCAAGGAACAAATATTTTAACGCAGCCGATGAATGTGGTTGACAGCATCTGCACGGCACCTGAGAGGGGACAGAACAGACTCGCCTCCCTTCCCGGCACGCAGGCGCACAGAGGCGCGCTGCTCTGCAAGCCAGACACGGCCTGCGCCCCCCGCTCCCCCCTTCCCAGGGGCCGGGCTCTTCCGTGTGCCTCTCACACGGTCTTAGCAGCAACCTGCAGGTTCCAGGGGCCTGGCCCATACCCCCCGAAGGCCATGGACCTCCGCTACCTAGCATGCTGGGCTCCCCTTCCAGCAAGGACAGGATGTACTTGTTGAGGAAGAGGGTACAGAAGCTGAAGAAGAACCACAGCGTGAGGTAGAGCAGAGCCCGGGAGCTCCACACGCCCAGCTCGGACTCGATGACGGTGGTCTCAGTGATGGTTACGGAGAACACGTTCTCCTGGGGGGCTCCCTCGCTCCTGGTGAAAACAATTTTCTCGCTGCGGTGGCCCAAGAGAGAGCCCCAGGCAAGGAGTGGCTTCCCCCTGGGCTTGTCCTCGGGGCCGGGGGCCGGCTCTGCCGGCGCCAGGGGTTTTGCCGAAGCTGACATGCCGGTCTCCTCAGGACTGCGGGCAGCACAGGCCAGGCCAACTCCCAGCCGGAGGTCTGCAGGGCGGAGAGTGCGCAGACCACGACTCGCCGCTCCCTAGAGAGTGCGGGCTGAAATGTTAAGGAAAAGAACCTGCATTATTGATTGTGGACATTTTAACGTCCTTAAAAAGTTCTAACCACTCAGCTGCAGTAAGTGTGGAAACTCAAACATGGAATTCCAGCCTTCGTTTCACCTCCATGCGCCCGTCCACTGCGCTGCAAGGACGGGGCCCCGACAGCTCCCGTCTCCCCTCCCCAAGGGGCTGAAGACCAAAGGCTCCAGCAGCCCTTCCCCACGCGCCCACCGTCTGCACAGAGGCCCCAGGAGGACCCCACCCAGGCTGCCACCCTCCTGAAGCCATCCCAGGGGCGCTGCACCTTTCTGCCTGATCTGGGACCTGCCGAAGTCCCCGTGGACAGGCCTCGGCCCCAGCCCACTCCGCGGGTCTCCACGCTGCGTCCGCACACTTGCTGCCTACCCCCGCCCTCGCCTCACGGTTCCTATTTTATCCCACTCTCCCAGCTGTTCTTCACAGGAGGACTGACCTGCTGGAGACGCTGGCTTTTTAATCTGTCCACTGGGTTTTAAGTTATAAACCCTCTAGTTTTCACTGCAGACACTCTGTTTGGTTCCACCTGAAATGGGTCTGCTTTTCTCACTGCATCTTGTCTTTTGTTTTTAACGTAAATTTTTTTTAAAAGATTGTATTTATTTATTTGACAGACGGACATCACAAGTAGGCAGAGAGGCAGGCAGAGAGAGAGAGGGAGAAGCAGGCTCCCCGCTGAGCAGAGAGCCCGATGTGGGGCTCGATCCCAGGACCCTGAGATCATGACCGGAGCCGAAGGCAGAGGCTTCACCCACTGAGCCACCCAGGCGCCCCTTAATGTAAAATTTTTTAAAATAAACTTGACACCCAACATGGGGCTCGAACTCACGACCCCAGGATCTCCAATGGAGCTGGCTGGGCGCCCCGTGTCTTGCTCTTTCCTCTCTTCTTATGTCTTCTCTCTCAGGTTCTCTAAAGGCCCTGTACCCAAGACCTCAGCCGGCCCCTGGGCCTTATTCACAGGCTCTGGCCTTGGGGTTGTGTGTGGGGCACGTCAGTCACCTCCAGCAGATCCTGCATGCGGGGCACTGTGCGCCCTGGGCCCAGACTGAGGGTTTGGGGTCTGCTTCTGTCACATGCCCCACGGTGTCACTGGCCCAGGACCAATTTTATGCTACTTTCTTGACAAACCCTCAGCATACCAAACCCACACCTGCTGGTCTCAGACCTACGGTCACGGCCTCTCAGGTGAGCCTCCATCCTCTCCCCTAAGATCACAGGCTTAGTCAGACCTGGCTTCTCCAGTGGTGGGCAGGAAAGTTCTCCAAGTTCTGCTTTAAGCCGAGGCCCAGTGACAGCAGCCTGCCCTATCTCAGTAGGGCCAGGGTCCCACCTCCTTTCCCAGGGATGTCAGACCCACGTCCCCAGCCAGCCTCAAACGGGCTGCGCACCAGACTTCCTGTTCCCTCAGTTTCTGACACTGGGCTTTCCTCTTGTCAGTTACACATCTAGAAGGACGTCCATCCTAGTTCACCCCTGGCTCCTGGCGTGGGCGGCGGGGGCATCCGGGGGCTAAGTTGGCCGTAGCACCACTGGGGCTTGGCACCCTGGCACCCCCAGCAGGACCTCCCGTGGGAGTATACGCTGCCCGCCCCACTTCTCTCCTGCTCATCTGCAGACAAGTGCTCAAGCGCTCCTCAAATTTAAGACTCTGAATTTCCGCACGCCCGGAAGCCGGCTTCGGTCCTGCCGCCAGGCACCAGCGGCACCAGGGACTCTAGCCATCCTCCCTCCGCCTCGCCTTGGCCCCGGGCGTTCCTGGCTCAGTCCCCCATGAGCTCTGCGCCCCAGGCCCCAGCGAGCACCCGCGTCGCACCCTGGCTGCCCACATGCATCCCAATCGTGGCTATACCCTACCCCAAATGCACTGCAGATCACAACAGGGTGTGCCTGGCCCTTCCAGGGGCTCCCACTGCCCCCACGAGGACGAGCCCTTCACCACTCAGGGCCCCGAGACTGTGCCCCGCTCAGGCTCCTTTCCTCAGCCCAGTCCCACTGTTTCGTTCGGGGCAATGAGGTGCTCTGTACAGCTAGGACTGGCCAGACCGGAGGGGATGTGGGGGGGGCCGCCACCCCCACCACTCTGGCTTGGAACCAGGGACTGGCTGCAAGTGCAGATCGGATGTAGGGACCGTAAGACCAGAGAGAGTATCCCCCCCCCCCCACAAGGGTCCCCAGGTCCCAGACCCTGGCTCCTTACCCCTCCCCGCCTCTGTAGGCTCTGCCTTGTCAGGAAAGCCTCCCCATCAGGGCCAAATCCCAAGTTCGAGGCCCCTAGCACCACCAGGTCCTCCTCCCCAGAGACCCCGTCACAGTGCCAGTCGCAGGTGCCCGGAAGCCACTGCTGATTGCAGAGCTCAGCTGCTTGCAGGGCACGGAGGCTCCGGAAACAGCAAAGGCCAACAAACATGGCAAAGAGCGTGCCAGCGGGTGACCGACCCCTTCCAGGCTGAGCACCCCTCCCACTGGGCTTCCACCGGAGAAACTCACTCTCCTCCTAAAGTCCATGTCGCGTCCCCCCCGAGAAGCCCCAGGACCAGGCGCCTCTGAGGGCCAGATCCTCCCTGCACCACGTCTGCTTGTGGTCGGAGGTTTAAGAAACTGGAAACCAGCACTCGGTGGCCCCCAGACTCCTGTATGAAGACCTTCAACAAGACGTTGGTTTTCAGTCAAGGAGAGCCCGCACGCGTGGTTCCACACAGCTAGGGTCCCGCGTTCGTGCCTGAACCCCAGTGAACGCACCCCTGCTAGCAAACCACCGTGCCACCAGGAATGTTATGGGAGCGTCTCTTCACGTGTCTCTGTCACATCTGTGCTTGGCAGTGACTCTGCTTGGTCGGGGGCGCCCACAACACAGAAGAGTCACACCGCTGACCTGCCCTGACCACCCGCCCTCAGTGCCCCCGTGTGCGGTTGCTCTGCTCCTGGAGGGGCCCATGGGAAGCACCCCAAACAGATCCCCCCACCCGAGCAGAGGTCCTCCATGCTGGCTGCATGGTCACACGCCCGAGCTCCCAGAGCAGACAGAAAGCGGCCGTTTCTGCGCAGAGCAACACTGTGGGCGCAGCCCAAGCACCAGAATGATCTCTAGCTTCTGGGCTGATCAAACGCGGCTAAGCAGAGAGCCACCATGGGGGTGGGAGGGCACTGCCCCGAGGAGCCCGTGGTTCTGTCACTGACGGTCCCAGGCTGGAAACACCCAGCAGCACACACAGACGGAACCCCTGTCTCCGTGAGTGACAAGAAATGATAAAAGCAGAGACCCACGGGCGTGTGGCAGAGGCTACCTGCAGTGACAGGTGGTCCCGGGGGTCCCATATGTGATGTTCACACAAGTCGCTAGAAGATGGGGGGTTAACGTAGCATTTTTTTAAAAGAAAATTTTATTTATTTGACAGACAGCACAAGCAGGCAGAGAGGCAGGCAAGAGAGAGGGGGAAGCAGGCCCCCTGCTGAGCAGAGAGCCCGATGTGGGGCTCGATCCCAGGACTCTGAGACCATGACCCGAGCCAAAGACAGAGGCTTTAACCCACTGAGCCACCTGGGCGCCCCAACGTAGCATTTTTTTAGAAGACTTACTGATTTAACTAAGAGAGAGCGTGCGCACAAGCACGAGAAAGGGGAGAGGCAGAGAGAGCGGGAGAAGCAGGCAGGAGAAGAAGAAGAAGAGAAGCAGGAGAGCACGGAGCCCCAGTGCAAGAATGACCCCAGGACCCCAAGGTTATGCCCTGAGCCGAAACCAAGAGCTGGACACCTGATGGACTGAGCCACCCAGGTGTCCCATCATTTGTTAGTAGCAAAACACAACCTAAACGCCTCCTGAAGGAGAAACCGATCCCAGCACAGCACGGGACCAAGGCCTCTGCCACAAGAGCCAAAGGGCGTCATGAAAGGGCTGGAGGTCCTAAGTGACGCACGAGTACGCAGGGCGGTATACAACGCGGTTCCCCACACGGCGGCGAAACGTGCCAAACACCAATACTGATTCGAAACAAAAATATAAAAAGTTCTGCAGAAGAGCAGGGACCAGGGAACCCGGGCCAGAGCTCATGTGGTGGGGCACGGCGGGGATGGGGCCCAGGGCAAAACCAAAGGCGGAGCAAAGCGCAAGCAGGCGTGCAGGGGGGCGTCCTGCTGTTCTCCAGACTCTTCTGGGAGCTCGGATTGGTGCGTGAAGAGCCCCGTGGCCAGAAAGCGGTTCTCCCAGAGCCTCAGCGGACGTTCCCAAGCCCTAGCACCTGCACCGACGAAGCTCGAGTAGGCCAGAGCCCGTTGGGTTAGAGCCAAACCTTCCTTTCTAGGACGGATTCAGAGTTCAAGCTAGACCAGCTTCCGGTGAGGAAGGCGGGGAAGGAGGGCAGGGCAGGCGGCCCCTCCCAGCCGACCGAACTTGCCTGCCTTCCCCAGCCCCCTGCAGCCTGGCGTGCAGCCGCCCGGACCAGGCTTCACCAGGCTTCAGAGCGTGAGGGCCTCTCCTGGTAACCGGGGGTCGCCTCACTCACCATCTGCCCCTTGGTGACCAGGTCTCCTTGGCTGCCTAGGAGCTTTCTCCCGTGCACTTTCCCCTCCTTCCACCCACACAGAGGCAGCCACCAGGCTTCCGGGGTGAAATGCAGCCGGGGCTGGAGACCCGGAGGCCCCGTCACACCAACCAGCAGACAACACACCAGCGCTTCCTTGCCCCATGCCCAGAATGGCGCCCAGAATCCCAAGGCAAATGCTCAGGCCACCAAGACACACTCACCTTCCGGCGCAAGCTCTTTTCATGACCATCAACCTCTCCACAGAGAGCCCACCCAGCTCGGTGATGAAGCAATGGGACAAGCGGGCCCAGGGACAGTGAGACCCCAGGCCTTGTGTGCAGCAGGGTGGCTGAGGGGCGGCAGACCTGCAAGTGTGCGTGGTTTCCACACCATGTCCAAAGATGAAAATCAGGTCTGGAGCAGGCTACGGCGTAACAGACACTGGCCCTGCCTCTGCCCTTCATGTCAAAAGACTCACTAATCACACCAGGA